TTATTATTCCAATGGTCACGCATGTTAATGGAGTAAGGTCTGGATTGAATCCCTTTAATCCAGACCCATTAAATTTAGTTAGATCTAGAGCCAAATCCTTATGGATCTCAAAAAATAAACCCATATCCAAACCATTCTAGATCTGGGTATCAAGGGCATTCATTGTATTTTTGTAAAAGCACTAAAATAAAATATATATTAAAAATCTGAAAAAAAAAATTATGAACGCCATCCAATTTTTATTTTCAAACAATAAAATTAATATTAAAGAAGTTGAATGCAATATTATGAACTCAAAAAAATAACTACTACTGATTGCTTCTATTTATTTTTAAAACTTCACCTATATCTACGTTAAATCCTTTATTTATTTGCCTTTACTTTTTCTCCTTTTTTTCTTAAAAAGCTTGTACTAATTATAATGACAACTAGATTAAAAAAAAGAGAACAATCATGAAGTCTTTCTATATTCGATCTAATAACTATAGAATATTAGAATATTTTATAAATTTATTAATATATATAATTTAATTATATACACATGAGTTTAGATAGGATTTGGTATGGATTTGAAATTGAATATGAATCATTAAAAAATCAGACGTCACCTAGATTCATAACACTTTTATATAGGGTTTGGGTGTGAGTCGGGCTTGAGTTTGAGAAATTAAATCCATATCCTACCCAAATTTATTAGCCCTGGTTAGATATAGATAAGATCGATCCATTTACATTTTATTTTTAACCAATGATATTATCACTTACCGTATGTCCTTGTCCTTGTATTGTCATCCATGTATAAGGCTTGCTCGATTATAATCTGATGAGCTTTAAGAAATCTGAGCGCTTGGGCTTTACATTTTGTAAAACGATGATGTTTTTCTTGAATTCTAAATACATTCACATCTACTTCGACTAGTGGAGTGGACTTGATGCAGACGACGTACACCATGGATCCTCAAAACCAAAACACTTCATTGCAAAGGCTTCAAAATGTTGAAAAGGTAATCAATAAATTAGACGATTTTTTCCTTGGAAACCAGATCTTTTAACGTTTTTATGGCTATTTTGGCTTCACAGAGAATAGTTAGGGTATTGGAGTTAGCTAGCAGTGTAATGGACGAATGGGCAAGCCCTAGTGGTCCAAGAAAGGAGCTGGTGAACAATCACTGCAGTGAATTTATGCAATTGATCAAGGTCACAGTCCTTCTTCCTGATCAATTTTAATACGATATGGCATATTGCTGTTACAAATTAGAATTGTATGTGTACATGATATGTGAGAAGGGGATGGGTTGAAAACAAATTTTTCCACCAGAACTTCCCCAAATTTCCAATCAAGAGTGAACTGAAAACTTTTCGTCTAATTTTTGTTGTCTGTGGGTGCATAAATATTTTCATCTCTATAGTTTGTCCTGTTTGTCATAAAAACAAAACCATGGAGTAGTCTGACAATTTACAAGTACCTTTTAATGAATAAAAATTTCTTGCTTTGTGAATCTGATTACAGTATTATTATTGTGTCAGTATTGTGAAGTATTATCCCCAAGTCTTTGTAGAGATGGTCAAATGCCGCTTTGAGAAGTTACAATGGCAAGGGAATGTGGTAATTGCAATTAGTTATTACCAGCTGTATGGTTGTTTTCCTGGAGCTGGTAACGTCAGAAAGTGAATAGGGTTACGCTATGGCTTTTGTTTTAAAGGTCTTAGCTTGTCTTAATTCTTAAACACCTACCCCATCTTAGAACTGGTATTGGTGATAGCCTCAATTTAAGGCCGCAGAATGCAGTCTATGCAGCCGTTGACGTACTTGATCCAAATTGAATCAGTTTCTTTTCCTGTCAAAAAAGCTGGAAAATAAAAGAAGAAATCTTTGAATTAGACATGAACATAGAATTGAAATTTATTTAACCATGAGTTCATAGTTCATATGGGGACAAGTCTACTACGTGTAAATTATATCATGGGTTCAAGGATAAAACTCTGGAGGTGATATATATCTTGACGTTTTTGTGATCTAGAGTTTTCTTTTCCTTTAGTGATGGAACCATGGGGTTGAACAATGGAATTTTTTGTCTTTGTTAATGAGCAAGTCAAAGTGCTCGAGATGATCTTTTATAAGGTATCTGATTCACTGCAATGAGTCAATTGCTCATGGTTTTGCTTGTCTAGGAAGATTGTTCTTTTTGGCATATTATTAGCTGCTGTTGTTGTTTTTTCTGGGATTTTACTTTCTGGCATATTTTCTCTTTTGACACTGAGATTGTTAACAATCCCTGCATGTGCCTGCAACTAGAAGAAACATGCGATTTTGTTTTGTTTCTTAATATCTTCTGTATTTTATGTTGTCATTTGGAAAGACAAAATCGCAAACAAGAGGATGTAGGGTTTGACAAATAATAACTCGGACATATTGAAGAAAGAGTAAAGTTCTTCTTACAAGTTCTGTAACAGAGAAGATTTTATTTCTGCATATTATTATTAAGATGTGTAGATTCATTTTTATCTTGGATAGTTGGGCATTTTACCTACTTGTTCCTGCTCAAAAGCATTTTGTAGGCTTGTTTCGTTATCATAGTAATTGCAATCGTCAGCTAAGAAGATGGCATTTTTGCATCTCATCTTTCTAAACAGGACATCCAAGTGACACTGCGAGAAGAAATCAAAAGTGCCTGCGAGTATCGTCCTTTTGAGAAGTGTGACTACGTTCCAAGAATATCTAATGAGATCTGTTGCAAGAAACTGGATCATGTCATTGCACAGTTAGATGAGATGAAGCATACAATTGAAGGGTATCATACCACAGCTTGAAACTCTGATCTAACATTCACAAATAGGCTGCTTTGGAGGATGCCTAATATCTGAGATCAGGGATATAGGATTTAGTTGGTCTGGCAAGGGCATTTGATTAACCATGAGCGTGCACAGATGTTGGTATGAAGAAATTTCAGAATCTGTTGTGCAAAAGCGGTTAGCCTTAGATTATTACATGCTACACATGGCACTGTGTGCTCTTCTTGTTTATTCCATAAATCCCTAGTGTCTTAATCTTTTGCACAATTCAAGAAATTAATTCTAGAGATTGTTTTACCACAAGCAGAGGATAGATGAATTACTGCCATCTTTTAGATGGTATGGTGGCACTATTGGCGCAGCTGCACTGAAAAGTGCTCTGAAGTCTGATGAGTACAATCTGCACTATTCAGCTTATACAACCTTATGGCTCGCGGTCCTTAGGATGAGAATTGATGTGGGTAAAGATATCTTTCGGTTGGTGCTAATTTAGTTACACATTCAGGAATTCGTGTAGAAAAAAGAAGGAGTCTCTAAACTGCTGTCTTCTCTACTTATTAGCATTTGCTTTTGCCTTCGTTTGATCTTTTATGGTTTGCTGCCAACATGGTTGATTTTCATAATCTCCTTATCTACATTTCTCTTTTCACTTTTTCTTTTTTGGGGGTGAGATCTTAATATCTTCTGAAGCCTTTTGCTTTCATACAATTGTACAAGTATACACAACATATTAAAATTCAAATTGCAAAAATACTGCCAAGCCCTGCATTACAGGGCTGACAGAAACTGTTCTTAAAGCAAGAGATATAAACTCGATTGCACAAAAAGTGAAAGAAAGAATCGATAAACAAGAGGTGAACAATTATAAGTTATCACTTGGCATTCTTTTATTGATTATGATACGTAAAGTCCGTGAACAATGAGCAACTGAACCAACTCACTCTTTCACCATTCTAGGTGACAACCTAGAATGCTGTAGATCTAGTACTAATTCATATGCTAAACAATTCTTCAGACAAGAAATTTCCTGATGACGTGCTTTGTACGTGATATTGCAGCACTGCAGCACCTGCATCGTGTTATCGCATTACAGCCTCTGTTGTAAGGAGGAGGAGCGGCAGCATCAAGAATTCTTCCATCTTTTCCTGTTCCTGTGGCTTTGGCTAAGGTTGTAGGCGCAGCAGCATCACCACCTTGTGCAAGCAGGAAGATGTCAACCACAGCAATATCCAAAAACATAAAACTCTCGACCTGCCCATTCTCAAAACGTGGTAATATTAACCCTTGGAAAAAAAAAGGGTACAAAAAACAATGGGTACAAGCAATGCAGTTGGGAACTTGGGATGAAGAAGAGTTGATTTATAGTGGAAAAAGGGAATCCAGATTTTTGGGAGTCCTTGAAGATTCCTCTACCGTTTTGTTTACAAGTTAAGCGTAGTGTATATGGAAATAATTGAAGACGACTGATTTTCTTGGAAACACTTGCGCATTCTAAAACTATTTCATTCTTTTATTCCTGGAGTTTCACGCATTGGCAGACCTTGATTTTCTTTCCAAGTAATACTTGCTGTTTTTTGTTCTCTCCAAAGCTACATCAAATTATTTTATTCTTCACACATAATTTCTTGCTATCTTCTTTTTTTTCTTTCCTTTTTTTTTTTTCCTTAATACTGTCATATATGAATTCAACTCAGTCATGAGTCTCATGACTGGGGACAAATACGTTGGGACAGTGATCTCCAAATTTGAGGAGCTTCAAAACAATTTGGCATGCGACATGAGATGCTTTGCCACAAGCTCTTCTTGCCCAACTGATCTCAATGATTATGTACCCGAAAATTAAAATGTTTATTGGCCTAATCAAACAATTGTAGTCTCTGTCGATGATAAAGAGAAGGAAAATACTAGCAAGCAAGAGGACTTGACTTGACTTGAGATGAAACGCTTGAATGCAAAATACTGGGAAGGAAGGCGTGATTCTTTCCTCATAAAGTTGCCAATTTAAGATGATTAAAAGCGTTTCCGGAGTAGGTGCAAGTCAGGGCGCTTTCAGCTGATAAAAGCGTGTAATAAGTCTTACACCCCTCCAAACTGATGCCACCCATTCTTGTCCCTTGACCCAAAGAGCGTGAGTCGCTTCCGCGCTTAAGGCTTTCAAGAACGTTAAAAGCGTAATCCAAACACCGCACCTTGTTCCGAAAGCGTCATCAACATATTTCTCCGCACCCAAAACCCATCCAGCGAACGGCACGGGAGGCCTAGTCCTAGAATGAGCTCCTCCTCAACCGCCAGTTTAGTAGCAAAGCCAATAGTTTTGTTCACAGTCACCATCAGCATCACCATTTTCTTTGTGCTATCTTCTCGACCATACCCGTATCTGATCAAACCCGCCCCCGTCTCCGCCCCTATGGCTCGGAGCTTCATTCTTTGGCTTCATGGGTTGGGCGATTCGGGCCCGGCAAATGAACCCATCAAAACCTTCTTCACTTCTCCTCACTTCAAAAATACCACTTGGGCTTTCCCTTCTGCCCCATCAAATCCTGTCACTTGTAATTGTAAGTTTCTTTTTTATTTATTTTTAATTTTCCACTTCAATTTAAGTATCATTTCTGTTATGTTTTTGAGCAGCATTGCTTGATCATCATGTTATTTTAGATGGTGATGCGTTTTGTTTTATTTGTTCTATGTTTGTTAATTTTGATTCTTCATTGTTCTTACGAAGCATAAATGTGGTTTCGTTCGTAAATCAAGAGAAAAGATTTTTTTTTTTTCCTTTTGGCTTTTGGTGCAGCAAATAATCGTGTTGCTTGTCTTGTCCGAATGCATTGTTGTAGGCTACAATTTTGAGACTAATTCTCTAGTAAATGGACAAGTTTAATTTCTTCAAAGGTATAAAGGATTAATAGACTTTTGAAAGCTTTGAGTGCTCAAATTGCTTTTGCCGATTAATCTTTTGCAAATGACTAATTAAACACTGTTAGCAGTAACTGAAAAATATTTAGATTTATTGGCTGGTATCTTTGGATTAGGGATAAGCTTACCAAGAGTTGTAAACATTTCACTTCTAGCGGTTTACTATCCATGCTCATATTTTGTTGATATCTGATCGAAATTGGGTATTCACACAATTCTACTATTCCTAAAATATGATTTCTTTTTACCGTTTCACTGAATTCTTGACAACCAACAAGTCCAGGAAGGCTTCTAGGAGTCGTACCAATTTTTAGTACTTGTTGTTCCACTAAATGAGATGCTGAAGTAACCACCAGCTCCTTGTGTCCTTGACATTTAGATAGATACTGGAAAAGCAATCAACAGTAAGATCAACAATTGTGTTTCATCTGTGGAGACATTTTGGGGATTTTTTTTTTTGATGTCCAATGTTCCCTTTGGTACTACTTTCCATGTGCTTAAGTTGTACTTTGTATTCAGGTCTTTGGTGATAGTTAACAAATTGAGTTGAGTGGGGAAATGTTCTGTTACCACTCGTGCTGGTCCTCTTTTGTTTCATTATGTATTTTCCCTGCATTTTATCTTTTATTAATGCCTATTTACTGTGTCTATCTGCTGAATTTTCTTTTGGCATAGATGGTGCTGTGATGCCTTCATGGTTTGACATTCATGAGATACCTGTGACAGCGGTGAGTTCCCTTGTCTCAATTTTTCTTCACCTTGCAGCTTACAGTCTATGTCATGAAAGTTAAATTTTGTGTGCAATTTGATATTGAAGTGATCTGAATTAGGGGGGTTGCAATTGGGCCAAGTTGAGCTTGAGTTATTAGAACTTGACTTGACTCAGTATTGCCATTTCTTGAAATAGGCTTGAGCTCGTCCAGCTCTTTCATCTGTGCTTGAACTCATCTTGAGGCAAGCCTTATTGAAAACATACTAGTGTTCTGTAAATGAAGGTGTCCATCAACATAGGTTCACCCAGTTAAGGTTCTGGTTGATTTGCAACAACACCATTGCTGTTTTCAGTGATCATACTAAAGAGAAAAGGAACTCAGGCTCTACAATCTAATGATCTTTCTATGTTGAGAGAGAGTGATCTGGCCAGGGGATCAAAAAGGAGATCAGTGGTGCATTACACCTTGTAAAAATGGAGAATTGCTAGGTGTAACTAGGACTCTAGCAATTCATACACCAGGACTCTAGCAATTCAAACATATGCGTGTTTTTGTTTTCCTTGTAACTTTTCAGTGGGCTATTTATGTAATACAATAGATGCATATGGTTACCTTGACCCAATCCTAGGATGCATATAGTGGCTGCAATCCCAGGTACTCTTGCCAGTCTTTCCGAATTACATAGACAGAGGTAGTATTGTGGTTCATATTCACATTTTAGTAATAAGTAGTATAGAATATTATAGCAGATGTAAATTCAATTTGGTTCACCATTACTTGATGCTAGTGTTCTTGGGCTAACTATTCAAACTGCTCAAGCTTGACGAAAGACAAGTTGAGAAGGCTTTGGTTGTGTTGACCACCATGCAAACTTACTTTGGCTCATTTGCAGCTGATCTGAACTTTGTTGAAAATAGCTACAGAGTAGTATATAAGTTTTCTAAGGACTTGAATTTTCCTCAAAATAAATTATTTTATGTATATTGTTTATCCGCTTTGCTAGTTAGGTTGATATGTGCACTTCAAACTTTACTGCTTTTCCAGTTGGAACAATATCTCTTTCTATATCTTCCTCATGTCTGCTTCTTGAATAATGAATTTCATTGAGTACCGGATGTCAAGATAAATTTAATACAATACTTGCAGCCTTTCTTTCTGGCAAGCTCAATCACATGCATTTCGAATTTTAAGGTACACTTTTTTTTTTTCAGAATTCTCCTAAAGATGAAAGTGGTGTTCTCAAAGCCGTGCAGCATGTTCATGCAATGATAGACAAAGAGATTGCATCTGGAATAAATCCAGATAATGTATTTATATGTGGATTTAGTCAAGGAGGTCTCTCTCTTTCTCTGAGTGTCTGTGATGCCTTTCTCTCTCTCAGATTGCATGCACTGATCCAAGCATTCTTTATGTTATCCTGCCAATTAGATGAGAAACTTTGTGAGTTTTGTAGGTGCCTTGACGTTGGCTAGTATTTTGCTATATCCAAAAACTTTGGGAGGAGGTGCTGTATTCAGTGGATGGGTTCCTTTTAATTCTTCGATACTTGATCAAATTAAGCCCCCTGCAAAGAAGGTACTCCCATAAACTTAATGTGGGTCGTCTATGGTGTTGCAGATTGTTTTCATTGTTTCAGCTTTGTTTTTTGGCAAGCTAGAGCGTATCTAACTAGAAGCACACCTGAGATATAGTCTTTAAGGCTTGCCTTTCCAAATGAACAATGTGCTTATCTTTAGCTGGGGTTTAGGCTGATGATCTGATATCATGATGATATAAAAATTCTCTTATCAGAGGCATGTCCAACTCCATTGAATCAAAGATGGCTTTCTTGCTGACCTTTTCATTTATGATGTATTCAATAATTGTGTGCCCTTTTTTCGGTCTTTTAAGTTTTGGTGGGAGATGCATGTTTGGCTGTTAAGTGAGATAGGTGCCTTAAAAAAAAAGCTGAGATTTTTTTTTTTTTGGGGGTAGAAATGGTAGTTGGCACTACATGTTCTTTCTCCTTTTCCTGGATTACTTGTCTTGCTTTTTGTTTGGAGTCAAAATAGTGTATTTAATGATTTAGTTTGTTCAGTAAAAGACTGGAATTGTTGAAGCCAACTTTGACCGAATTGTTGAAGACCACCTGGATGGTAGTTTGTAGTTGTGGGAATAGTGTCTGTTTATTCAGTGATTAAGTATATAGCATTACCAGTCATGGGCATTGGATTGAAGAAGGAAAAAGACAGTGAAAAGAAAGCAGGTGGGAGGAAATCTTGTAAGAAAAACACATTTGGTAGCTCCATTTGCAATAATTGTTTCAAACCTTTTTGCAGTTGGTTTTGCAAGCAATTTAATCTTTGATCCATTGGTAGGAGCCCAGTTTTGGCTGACTGGCATTTATTACTACATCATCTATTCATTGTCAATTTTACTTGCTTGAATTATGGATCTGAAATGGGGAATTACATGCAGACACCAATTTTATGGTCCCATGGTATGGATGACAGAACAGTACTCTTTGAAGCAGGGCAAGCAGGTCCTCCATTCGTTGAGCAAGCTGGAGTAAGCTGTGAGTTCAAGGTGCTTGCTTGCCACCCTTTCTCGAAACATCCACATGATTTCTCTATGCGTTTGTCCTGAAACGGAAAAGACAAATGGCATTACATTTTTCAGGCTTATCCTGGTCTTGGTCACTCAATAAGCGGTGAGGAGCTGCGTAGCCTGGAATTGTGGATTAAAAGCCGTCTACAGAGCTCTTCCTGAAGGTTTGACAATTTTGAGTTTACCATGTGATTATCATCATAGGCCCTCAAGTGCTGCTGCAATGGTGCTTTAATATTATAACAACAATTCTGGTATCTCAATCATCATACAACTTTTCAAAAGTCGCATGAGTACTGTGTCTGAGTTAGGTGATTGTAATTATGCCTAATGGCTACGAGGCATCAGGTAATAAAACATAAGTGAGAAGGAAAAAACATTTTCAAGAAGCCATTGACCTAAAAAGGAGCCGCCTGCTCTGCATGGCTTCTCCTGTTACTCAGATTATGTATAAATAAACAGACTACTATAAAACATCTCCCCCGTCCGTGTTCTAGTTTTGCTCCAAAAAATGAAAAGGGTAGTACTAGTTTTGGCCATCTGTAATCTACCAATGCAATTGTTCTATGCTGCTATAAGCGAAAAGGTAAATCCAGTTGAGTTGAGCTTTATTCATTTCTCATTGTGCGTTCAACAGGTATATTCAAAGAGTGGCAAGGTTGGCTGAAGATTCTCTCATCCTTATTATAAGCACATGAGAGAATCAACCAAAGGGGAAACGAAACAACAGTTGTTGATGATCAGGTAGGTACTTCAGGCCACCCTGTGAAAAGGGTACTCGCGCTCCGTATTTATTTGTCTACGGGTAGTTTCAGATTTGGTATCTGAGCTTTTGTGGCATGGACGCAAGAGGCTGTTTACAAATTTGGTTTGGTGGCCTCAGATTCCGGGGACAGAGAACCATGTCGGGCCCATCCATTAGGGATTTTTACTCATTGATCATATCATCAATCACAAGTTTTTGTATTTATTATTCGTACGACAGAGATTCGCTCAGTTACATGCTAAATGGTTCTGATGCCAAGGAAAAATATTTTTGAGTGACCTGCCTACATCATCGCACTTCGCATGATAGTTTTATTTATTTTTTACTGAAAGTGAGATGAGTCTTTTGATCAAGTGCATGATAGGAATAATAATAAGATATCTATTTTATTGTATTGTCATGGATGGCGTAACATCTGACATGACTTCTTATGATCAAAGCAAAATCAAATGCGAAAGATTAAAGAGTTGAATTTTTTTAAAAAAAAAAAAAAATTTATGCAAGTAAAAAGTCTTAAATTCGAAATTTTCAGTCATATTCGCTCTGGGTTCACGGAGGAAGACGCTGCTAGTGTCAACAAAAAAATTTGTTTGGACAGCTGATTATTTTTTCAAATATATTTACTTACATCATCGTTACAATTTTCAATATACCTTTTTATCTTCTCAATTATCTTTTCATCTCACATACATCACATTACAAAAAGTATTATAGTAAAAATATTTCAAATAACTTACAATCCAAACAAACTTAATAAATGTTGTTTAGAAAAAAGAAAAAAGAATTAATCGAGGGGGATGAAGAGGCCAGTCGTCGTAGTCCTTCTGCCACCCAAACGTTAGGAGGGGTCCTCATAAGGCCAATGAGTATCAACGGCCCAAAGCTGTAGTACTGTAGGCCTCTGAACGTTCTCTCAACCTTGTGACCTAACATTTATATAAAAGGGGCAAATGAATGACACAATTCTGAAAAGCAGGATTTTGATCCAGATCACCTCTTGATTCCATGGTGGGTCCCCCAGTCGATCGATCACCCACGGTTGCAAATAACTCCACCTTACCATCTCATCAACCAATCAAAATGCGCTAGCAGGCTCACTCTTACGGTCCCATCCAGGAACCAGGATCATCCCTATCAAAAGCTCACCGCCCCGCAGGCCCCAACCCAATGCAGTGGTACTACCAAGGCCCAAAAATACATACGTCACCAACTTCCATGCTTCTTTCTTTTCCCCTCCCCCACTCTCCAGAAAATAAATGAGACTTGGTCAAACTCTTCAAATTCAGCATTTTCAAGAGTCAAGACTCCTCCCGTCCCAAACCCACCCCCATAAGAAACACCACATATTGATATTTAGCCATTTAAAAGCCCTCCTCCCCATCGCCTCTTAGTATTTGATACTAGTAGTATTTAGTTCTAAAGAAAGAAAGAACAATCCCACCATCCATCTTCATTTCCTAGGTCACCCTCATAATCAAGTAGTATGAAGAAGCTGTATAGAAGAGGATCAGTTCATCCATCACCGCCTCTGAAACCAGACCATTTATCGTTTCTACCCCCGACCATCTTGACTCTCACGGTGGCTTTATCCCCTCAAGATAGAGAGGTCTTGGCCTATCTCATATCTTGCTCTTCCTCCTCCAACTTTTCCGGCAATAACCGGAGGAGAAATACCTCCAGTGCTACGGCCAACAGCTCTAATAACTACAGTAACAACAGCTGCGGTGCTGACCATCCGCCTTCGTTCGATTGTTATTGTTTTGGATGCTACATGAGCTACTGGGCGAGGTGGGATTCGTCGCCGAATCGCCAGCTTATACATGAAATCATCGACGCTTATGAAGACGGGTTATCCACCCAAAGCAAGAAAGAGAAGAGTAGGAAGGATAGAAGGAAGGGTGGGAAAGGGTCGGCTGAGTTGAAACGGTCCGAGCCGACCCCTCCGAGTGGCAAGGAGCTTACCGAGTCATCGGATAATTCCCGGGAGGATGAGATTGTTGATACCAAGGGTAGCGGGGAGGCTGATGATGGTGGAGAGGAGAGGGAGGGGGTGGAGACGGAGAGGAGCTCTGTGAGGAGATTTGTGAGTTTTCTCGGCGAAAAGATTTGGGGTGGTTGGACTTAGATTTAGTTTCCGACGATGGGACGAAAACTACGAGAGGATGTAAAAGGTTGGTTCAACTTCAACTACCCCTCCAATCAATCATCTGTTTACAAAACTTCCAACTGTCTGTTTTTCCGATGGGCTGTTTCTTTACATATATATATATATATACACAAATATATATATATTCAGGTTTAGTTTGTCTCAACTTGCTTGTAAATTTCATCGCCTTTTAATCACATGTAAAATATATATGCAGAAGAAGAGGGTTTATGTTTTTGGTTATCTTCCTTTCTTGCTTGGCCGGTTAAGGTCATCAATGCAATTTTCTTGGGAGCGACAGCTGCGTTTTACTTTCTGCACCTTTTTTAGGCCATGCTTATTATTCATTCTCTTTTGCTTGGTGTTCATGTTCCAGGATGAGAGAACGTGTAATGTAGCAGGATAAGGAGCGAGCAATTTTTACCTTGTAAAAATCGAGTAAATTTTTTTATTATCATTTTTTGGATTGTTATCCTCGAAAGAAACATTTTTATGTTTTCAATAAACATATTTTTTTAATTAATTTTTTATCTCGTATGCATCAAATCCTGTTAATAAGCAGTAGTAGTATTAGATTAGGGTTTTATTAGTTATTAATCCTATTATATTCTGGGAATAGCCACCGGTGGAAGCAACTAACTCCTGTTCCTCCTCCTCTGTTGAAAATAATTTTTTGATAAAAGAAGTACTACTAGACTACTGTCTTTTGAAGAGCCTGCATGCACGGCCCGCGCGTGGTATTTAGTCAAGATCCCCCCCCCCCCCCCTCTTTTCTCTTATCATGGGGGACTATTATCATGTTTCTTTCAGAAATGGCGTCTCCTCTGAATCTCTGAATTGGAATATTGGTGCCAGATGTGCATCCCTTTTCTTTTATCGATTCTTCTGGGAAATTGTCTTCTCAAACGGGACAAATATAGCCGGGATGGTTGAAGTCTCATTTGTTGGTTTCCCGTTTCCTTCAATAATAATCGTCCCAATGCATTGGTGGCATTTGCGAGTGGTCAAGGCCTTTTCGATTCTCAAATTTTTAGAATTTCACGTTAAGCCGTCGAATTTTTCATCTAATTTGACTCCAACATTAATCAGCTTATGTTATATATATATATATATATATATATATATATATATATATATAATGTTATTTACATTTTTTTTTATTATTTGTATTTTTACTACTCCCTCCGTCCCATTTTGTTAGTCTTGATTTTTTTTTCATACAGATTAAGAAAATGTAATTAATTTGGTTGGAAACATAAATTTAGATTAATAATTTTCTAAAATGTTCTTATGCTAATAACGAAGAGTGTCAATTAATATCAGTTACAGCTAATGGGTTAGTATTGGAAAAGCTTAATGTATTCAACGTAATGGGCTAGTATTTAATAACAATGTATTAATAACAAGATATTTAATAAGGATATTTTAGACAATTTAAAATATTATTACATTTCTTAATAGGAAAGTGGATTACAATTTGGGACAGACGAAAAAGGAAAATAAGACTATCAAAGTGGGACGGAGGGAGTATCATTTTTATTATATAATTTTTATTTATTAAACTGTATGATATAACAAAGGGTGGGATCGCAAAACACGAACCTTGCATCTTTTTTTTTTTTTTGGTCTCTAGGGGGCATCCGGGCCTTTTTGGGACTCGACTAATCCCCTCGAGCAATCGCACAATGTCAGAATCTAAAGAGGCAACCTCAGTACCAGTCGAACCTGGCATCTTGCAAGAGGCAAAAACTAATCAAATGGCTGCAGTAACAACCAAAACCAGCCCTTGGGTGAGTTGAAGTGAAACATAAAGTATAGGCGTGGTTTTAAGTTAGGAGGTGCGTAGGAGGGTTTAAATCTCTGCATTTGCCTTAAATTTTAAAGGGAGCGTGGGAGAGCGCATCTCTTTTGGTCTAGAAGTGGTATATTCTTTTCTTCTAGTTTCCTTGGTTCAGTTAGGTTTTCCTCAGGCCTCGACTTTATTTATTTATTTATTTTTTTTTTTTTTGTGAATAATAGGAAGTTTGGGATTTGGTTCGCGTCATCACTGTGGTGCTCTAATGGACCTAAATTAATAAACAAAAAAAAAAAAAAAAAAAAAAAAAAACTAAAGAAAAATCAATATAGAGGCAAAGGGGAATTTTTCTTCCATTGATAGAAGAAACTGTGGCGTCACAGCTGACACAAACGAAAACATTACCCTATGATTTATACATCCGAAGTTAAACTCACGACTCTTAACATAATGACTATTATATAAACTAACCAATGATGACATGACACGTACACCGCTACTTAATTAATAATACTAAAACACAAAGCCTTAGTTTAACTTCTTTTTTTTTTTTTTACATTTTTTGATGCAATAAAAAGTTTGGAACTTGGTTGGAATGATATGTTGTTTATGGTGATTTTTATGACTTATCCCTTCACATCAATAATTAAATTTTATGAGGAATCGATCCGTTTTTATAAACGTGTCCTCAACTTTACCTTTGGTTTGGGGAGTCGAGGATCCGCAACTTTTGCTGTAATCAGGCAAAACAGGCGGCATGCCTTATCATGCCTCCTCCGTCACTAACCTCGGGTTTCTAGCGTTTGATAGTCCTCCTAGGACCAATTTTTCATAGAATAGAGAAGAAAAGATAGAAAAAGAAAAGAACAGATAATTTCCTGGATTTTTTTTTTTTTTGCGTTAGACAGGATTATATGGTGCTAGATTATCTAGCCTGTGTTGTCACGACTGACGAGGTCGGCAAAAGTAAGGCTCCGATTAAAGCAAAGTGCTAGGTTAAAATTATAGGCTCGTAAACCTATTAGTCGAATCCAAAACCTGCTTTTTATTATTCGCCAAAAAAGGTCAAAAAGGCGTCGTATTCTTTCCTTAATTTATTGAATTCTTGTCTGTAGTGCATAGGGTTGTAAAGGATTCAATTAGTTTGGCTCAATTTTATCGAGTCCGAACTCAACAAATAAATTTTTTAATGTAAAATTTGAATTCAAATTTATTCTCGAATTCGAGAAAGTTTAAATTCAAGCCTTATAAAGTTAAAAGATAATTATTTTATGTTTTAAAAACATGAATAAATCATTCATTTTTCTTAATAAATAATAAAAATATTAGAAACATATATGTAATTTTACT